TGTTGTGAATGATTGTACGATTAATTCTACACATAGTCAGAATTGCAATAATGCACATTATGTACCTTCACAAGAAATCGATGTACCCGTCTAACTAGATCAAAATACCTTCAAAAAATATATATGCTCATATACATGTTACCCATTAGTTACGAAGGTTATCCTTGTACGAAGACAACAATGAGCCTAAAAAAGTTTTGCATACTTCTCTTAAATTGGAATTAAATAATTCATTGCAAGACCTTGCAATGGTTAAAATAATGTCTGGAATGAACAAAAGTGCATTTACGGATACTTGAGTACATTAGTGGTGCACCTAAGAAAGTGCTAATAGAAAAAGTATTTTCACCGAGTTTTTTAATTGCCTCATCCTTCAAGGGATTGAGTGAAGTCGACCATATTCAAAGATATCTGGTACTACATAAATAATACCTAAGAGCATCTCCAACCCAGCGCTATTAATGGCGTCAGTTGTCTCAAACCGACGCCAAATCTTGTGCCACTTTTTGGCGTTGCTATAGTGCAACGCCAATTTTGGTGTTGCACTGTAGCAACGCCAATTTTTTGGCGTTGCTCTGTATATATATATATTTTTTAATTTTTAATTTTTAAATTTTAATTTTTAAATTTATTTTTTATTTTTCTAAATTTTAAAAAATTATTTTAAATTATAAAAATAAAAAGTTGTTTAAAATAATAGGAAAAATTGAATATTTAAAGAATAATAGTGAAAATTGAAGTTATGGTTGGAGTAAAATTACTGTAGCAACTGCATATTTATTAAAACTAGATAAATGGAATTGACGGGTTGGAGATGACCTAAGCAGCCACCAATAATACTTTGATTGTCAATGCTCATACCCATAACATATAATTACATATTGCATTAAATATCAAATACCCCGGGGTAGTTTTTTACGTACCTATAATACGATTTCATATGCTCTAGTAATGAGTATTTATTCCCTGATAACTTGTTCTTGGAAATAGATTATTCTGAATTTGAAATATTCAATTGTTGTCGGTAATCATGGATAAATTCATCATTATAGTGTTCTCGCAAGTCTTCGAACTATATGAAAAGATAAATACATATTTACTATGGATTGATAAACAATATAGAAAATACTTAGTTGAGATGACGTTGAAAATATAAGAATAATACAAGTTCTAGGATACAATCTATTATGACCAATATACCCATAGTTCCATTATAGTTCAAACAAGTCTCATGTTATATAATTGTGTCATTGAAAGTAAATTTAATTTCACAAAAATACCATTGACACGATCAATAATTTTAATAAAATAATCCTGGAAAGCGATATATACTCACATGTTAATGGTAACCGGGGATGAATTAAACAAGATAGAAATTTTCACCAATTTTTGGAGGGTATTAATATGCAAATAGTACATGTCTACAAGAAGCCAATGGGAAAACACCATCATACATCATTGCTCCCACGGATTGATTGTTATTTAAACCTATTACATAGTAATCCATACTGTAGCACACACAACAATAGTCGGTCCACCGAGGTTAACAGAGGAAGTGCTCTTACCGAGTTCGTGAATCAGTTCTTCTGCGTGAGATTGACTGAAATCATCTAAATTCGAGGATACTTGGTACTGCACAAATAATACCTAAGCAATCATTATTTATAAGTCATAAGTGACTAAGTTAAATATATTGGTTGTTAGAGTACGTGATTGTTGTCTCAAACCTGGCTTGGTGTACGAAATCATATTAGTTGTGTACATACTGCTACTTCATTTAGAGAAATCTCCATCGTTGTAGAAACTCAACTAAATTCAAATATACCTGCTACTTTACAAACAATACATTTGTAATGTATATATACTCATAAACTCAGTGTTAAGACTGAGTACTTTATTCACGTAACTACATACATTATCTTTATGTCTTGTTTCATTTTCCACATACTCATATACACATGTTATATACTCCAAATACACATACTTATGCCCGTACTTTTCGTTCATGTACCACGGTGTAATGAATTTATAAAAAAGTTTCAATGCAATTTTGGATCTTGCTGTTGTATATTTACATGACACACTTTGAAAGTGACGAGAATATGGCCGGATACCTTCCTAGGCATAAGCTCTTTGATCCAAATTCAATCGAGTGAAGTAGATCATCCAAATTCTTAGTCTTGGATAATGATGACGATGTTTGCGGATGCCCTTGTCGATCTATATCCTTCAATTGTCTTCGAACAGAACAAAAAAAAATTCAATATCTATCTTGTTCTAAATTAGATCCAGTCTTTCAAAAAAACTTTTATATACTACAAACCTGAGAAAGATAAACAATTATTATAATGTAGACAAAGAAAATACACGAGCAAACCATCTAAAACAATGTTTTCCAAATAAGAAAAAGTAACAAAAAGAAAAAAATGACCGATTATTGTATAATTTCTTAAAAATTGGATATGTATATAAAACCAAATGAAAAGCAGACGGATATCAATAAAAGATCTGGATGAAACTTCACTAATTACACCTATATACATACATAAATATAGTCTGTATTCATTGGCTTTCAAATATCTCAACTCCATAAAATTTAACCACAACTTCAAATATCTCAACTTCATATATCCCAACTATTACGAAACTAAATAATTAAGTAAATAAGAAAAAAAAAAGGTAGAAAAGAGATGACTTACAAATCCATCTTGTCCATAGTCAACAACAACTCATCGTAATTCTTTCCAACAAAAACAACAACTCATCAAAAGGTTTCAAAGGAAAAGAAAACATTAGTCCAAATCTGATTTTGTAACAACAACTAAACTTAAAAATAAATCCAACTCAATTTGAATTTTATCAATATAAAAAACGTAATTATCAAACATAACATCATCCCAAATCCTTTTCACCTAATAAAACATCAACAAAGTCTAATTACATTTATAAAAACGAAACACAAACAAAGAAATCATCAGCTATAATATGCACCACACAAAATAGAAAATAAATCACACATCTTTGTAACAATTTTGCACGGTGATTACTCACCAAAAACAACATTGCAATCAACAAGAACGAGAAAATGCGACTATAAGCATCAGTTATACAAAAAATTTCAGCAAAGTCAGTAAAGAAAACTCCATAGATTAGGGATTTGGTATGCAATAAATAGAAGCAACTAAAAATTAGGGTTGTTGTGAATTAATACCTGGTTCGATGGATTATTCAAATTAAACCTCGTAAACAAAATTACAAATTAAATTAGCGGAAGCGAAATTTTAATAAACCCAAATAATGACAACGAACCGAAGCTGAAATCAAACCAAAATATTAAAACTAAAACATAATTAAACACACTGCATCATTAGAATTAAGAGAGTAAGAATCATGAAAATTAAATCAAACAAACATCACTCAATTCATCAAAGCTGAAAAAGTAACCTGGAATCAAAGAAACCAAACAAACAACGCCTAAAATGGAATTGAGAAATCAATTCAACTCCTATATTTGTGCTTTGATATTGCTCAACCGATATCAATTTTCGATTCTTCCCGGTTCGGTTTTAACTTTCCGATAAGACTCAAAAGACAAAAATCTTCCTAATCGACGAACATTTTAGTCGATTCAATCATCAATTTCAATCAAGACAAGGGGAAAGGAAACACATCATGACGCCATGAATAATTGCAGAGGCTTTAGAGAGAGAATCGCCGATCATCTAAACCCTCAGCCGATCTTCGCTGGATAGAGGACAACCGGAGTGATAGCGGAAGATATGAAAAGAGAAATAGAACTTTGAGAGCACTGGACATTGGCCGACCGGATATCAATGTTGATTTTGCAATCTTCAGTAATTGCTTGCCAAATTTGTTTTGCTGATTTTGCGCGAAATATAACGGACGATTTATGAAGATGGAGAGGAAATTGAGATGGGAAAGTAAGAACGAAGTGAAATTGAAAAGAGGGGAGTGCAGTGTAAAAAATTAATAACAGAGACTGATCTTGTAGAATTAAGAATTTATCTCCAATTGTCCGTTAAAATAACCCCTAATAATTAACTTCACCAGTAGCTTCGCAGTTCTATGTGTAATTTTAATTTTTTTTTTTTACCTTCGTCTTCGTTTTTCCTTTTCTTCATTTCTTCCCGCCATCTTCCATTTTCCTATTTTCTTACAAGTGTTCCCCTCCATCAACTTTCTTTCTCTTCTTTCCCCTTCTTCTTTCCGATTATTTTTATTACATCGGTCTTCCTCTTTATTCCTTCTTTTTCTTCTTTTCTAATTTTTTTCATTGCATCCGTTTCACAGACAAAATCTCGGCAACTTTCCTTTCAATTTTTTCAATACAAACTAAATGTATGCAACAAAGTAAAGATGTATTGAAATGAATTTTTGGTGAAGAAGAAGAAAGAGAAAATCTGAACATCTAATCTACTCTGGAAAATATTAGAATAAATTTGACACGGTGGAGACATAAGGTGAATTGATGCTTAATTATCTACCGTGTGCAAATAATAAATTTGGAAATCGCATGCCAAAGAAACTCACCCAATCAAACTGAAGTTTATTAATTTTTAAATAAAAAATCAAATAAAATTCTAAACTAACACATCTAAAAAAAAATAGGAGTATATGTAAAATGTTCAAACAAATTCACCAACTCTTTTTTTAAAAAATCAAATAAAATTCCAAACTAATACACCCTAAAAAATATATGCAAAATGTTCACACAAGTTATAACCAACTCTTTTTTTAGAAAAATCAAATAAAATTTTAAACTAATACACAGTAAAAAATATATGCAAAATTATATTACAATATTTCGGATACAATATTACCATATTTACCACGGAATCCACCCTATCCTAAAAAAGTGAAGGCATCAAGGTCGAGGGGCAGAGTAAGTAGTAGGCGAGCCCAAGCCGAGCCTGAGGCTAAGCTCGAACCTGAGCCCGAGCCTGAAACCCAACCCAGATTTCCATATTGCGCTCCTCCTTTGCTACCTCCTCTTCTTCTCCCTCTCCCTCTCCCTCTCCCCCTCCCCCAGAATCAATCCATTTTCTTCCCCAGATCGACCAACCTCTGTACTCCACACTATAGCCCAGCCCAATCAGGGATCTACTAATTTCTTCAGTTTCAGATCTTGTTGCTTCTTCTTCCTTCAGATCCGTCATACCTTGTTCGCAGCGTAGCGCAGCGATGTGGTCGTCTTTTCGATTCTTCTTCGCCTTCGTTGTGTTCTTCGCCTTCCTTACATCTTCCGCTCTTGGCAAGGTGGGTCATTAGCTTTTTCGTTCGTCGAGTGTGTGTCGTCTATAAATCGGCTAATTTCTCTTCTATGTGTATTTTCATTTCAATGTTTTTATTGGTTTTATTCATTCTTGCAAGATAGAATTATGTTGTTTTTTGCTATCTATGATGTGGATTACTAAGATAAGAAGATTTCTTATTCATGTTAACTCAAGCTAATAATGTGGGAGCATCACAAGTGGTTTATTTTTATGAATTTTGGTCGCTCCAAGTTTTCTAGTGGTTTTTTATTATTGCCTCTTTTTTTCGTGCTGTGGAACTGCCCCATGCTCAATACAAGTTAAAAAACCAAATGTTTGGCCACTAGGTCAGTTGATTGAAGGATTGAAAGGCAGTAGGAGATATTTAATTATGTTAGTTTTTCGTTTACAATATGTGTTTGGTGTTACTTCATTAATCATACAGCTACTTTCCATATTGTTTCTGGTTAAGCAGTGCCCGGTGATTGCCATACATTTAATTTAGTGATCATGTATGTAGGTGGCATATTGCTTTTGTAATACATTTTAATCTTGTGGACATCCTTTGATTCATCTGCAGTATAAACCTGGCGATGCTGTCATTCTATGGGTAAACAAAGTTGGCCCATATAATAATCCTCAAGAAACCTACAACTATTACAGCCTCCCCTTTTGTCACCCAGCCGGCAAAGCTGCTCACAAGTGGGGTGGGCTTGGTGAGGTTCTTGGTGGAAATGAGCTCATTGATAGCCAAATCGACATCAAATTTAAGAGTAATATTTTATTCTTGCATTACTTTAGCTGTCCGTCTTTGATTGTACAAAGCTGGGATTATATGTGGGCATACCTTTTACAGGAGATGTACCGAAAGCGACAATTTGTGAAATTGAGCTAGATGCTGCTAAGGCAAAACAGTTCAAGGATGCAATTGACAATTCATACTGGTTTGAACTTTTTATGGGTATGCTTGTCATCTTTTTGTTCAAGGATTCGGCTGTGATTATATTTAAAATAAAACCGTGTGCCCCTCTTACTTATTTTGTCTTTTTTTGTCCCTTTTTCTCGGGTGGGCTTCTTGTGATCAGATGATCTGCCTTTATGGGGTATGTTTCCATATCTGCATCCTTTTAAGTCCACTTTTGGATTACTTGCATTAAACGACAATTTCTATTGGTTTGTGAAGGGTTTGTTGGTGAGGTTGTACCTGACAGAGATCGTGATAACAAGCACGTGCTTTGGACACACAAGAATTTTATCATTAACTACAATGAGGATCAGGTTGGCTCAAGTGGTGATGATTTATGATTCATTTCCTTTAGCAGTTGTATAACATACTTTCTTTTTTTTTTTCTTTTGTATTCTCATGATCTTTTCCTGCAGATTATTCATGTTAATCTAACTCAACACAATCCCAAACCACTTGAAGAGGGACGATTATTGGAACTGACTTACTCTGTCAAATGGGTTCCAACTAATATCACCTATGCTCGCCGTTTCGATGTGTACCTGGATTATCCATTCTTTGAGCACCAGGTTAATATTGCATCATTTTGTTTTCTTTTTCTTATGCTAGGTGATTTGGAAATGTACTTACTGCTTCACTTCGAGACCAATGAGCTTATGCTTTTGTGTTCATTTCAAATCTTTATCTACACTCCAACAGTTTCCAGTATGTTATTGATATGCAATTGTTTCTTTGGGAGAACTTATCAATGCTTTCTCAATTTGCAGATTCATTGGTTTTCAGTTTTTAATTCTTTCATGATGGTAATTTTCCTTACTGGTTTGGTATCCATGATACTAATGCGCACCCTTCGCAATGACTACGCAAAATATGCTCGAGAGGATGATGATTTAGAAACTCTGGTAATTGCTTTGATTATTATGTTCCATTTTTTGTTAAACTGATGTATTAATTAAATAGTAAATTGTGCATGCTCCTTGAGGTTTTAAATTATTGAATTTGTAAAGCAGTTTTCCTGAAGAAAAGCTATTATGTTGTGAAAGCTTGATTGAACATTTCGTCCTAGGAACGGGATGTTAGTGAAGAATCTGGATGGAAGCTTGTACATGGTGATGTCTTTCGGCCTTCACAAAATTTGGCGCTGCTATCCGCTGTTGTTGGCACTGGTGCTCAGCTAGCTATGCTTGTTCTCCTTGTCATCATTTTAGCAATTGTTGGAACCCTATATATAGGGTATGACAGCCGCTTTAATATCTTATTTTTTCACTGTAAAATTACATTTCAGTTTACACCTTTTCATTTTAAAAGGGAACTTTTGATAGTAGTTTAGTTATAATTAATCTAATTCAATATAATCATTCGTAAACTGGCATGTGCAAGTTATAATCATTTTGAGTTATTAGCTGGTTTGTTATTCAAATATTTTCTATGTTTGATTTTGTGGTGTTCTATTGCATTGATAATGCCCATCTGCCATGAGGTGCAAGCTCCTTCTGCAACAGTGTTTTTTTTACTTATGGTGCTTATTCACCTAATAATAACTACACATTTGCTTTTGTATGAATCAGGAGAGGAGCTATTGCCACTACTTTCATCATATGTTATGCTTTTACTTCATTCATTGCTGGTTATGTGAGCGGTGGCATGTATTCCCGCAACGGGGGTATGTCATCTATTTCCTCTCCCTTGTCTTGTTTATTGTCTTTATGAACTTGTGCTTTGCATTAATAATAAGTTATTGCATCCCTATTTACCCGATTCTGTACTGACATTTCTATCTCTTGCTAGGTAAAAAATGGATAAAATCGATGATACTCACAGCATCACTTTTTCCTTTCTTGTGCTTTGGTATTGGCTTCATCTTAAACACAATTGCCATATTTTATGGATCCCTGGCTGCTATTCCCTTTGGCACTATGGTTGTGGTTTTTGTGATATGGGCATTTATTTCTTTCCCCTTGGCTCTTCTTGGCACTGTAATTGGAAGAAATTGGAGTGGGACTCCAAACAATCCCTGCCGAGTGAAGACCATTCCTCGTCCAATTCCAGAAAAGAAATGGTATCTGACCCCATCTGTTATATCGCTCATGGGAGGACTTCTTCCTTTTGGAAGCATTTTTATTGAAATGTATTTTGTCTTCACTTCTTTCTGGAATTATAAGGTAATTTTTGTTTCATTAAATGTGATATCTCTTTTCTATAATGAATTTTGTGAGATGGTTAGCTGCCATAGGTTCTCCGCTCATGTGTGTTTTTGATGCTGCACTATTTTTTAACTGCTTTGTTCGCATGAAACTGAACTTTTGAAATGTACTAGCATTTACAAAGTATATATATATATATATTTGTGTCTCGCTGATCTTTTTCATGCAATTGCGTGTAAGGTTTTAATGAGTCGTTGGTTGGACCCTCTTACTTATTTTCTAATATGAATCATTCAGTCCAGCATCATTTTATATTACAAATAACTGCTAGAGCTATTAACTGAACCCAACTTTAATACTCTTCCTATTCTTACTTTGTTTTCTTGTTTTCAGGTTTACTATGTGTATGGCTTCATGCTTCTTGTGTTTGTAATTCTGATCATTGTAACCATCTGTGTGACAATTGTTGGGACATATTTCTTGCTGAATGCCGAGAACTACCACTGGCAGTGGACTTCATTTTCTTCGGCTGCTTCTACTGCACTTTATGTCTACTTGTATTCGATATATTACTACTATGTCAAGACTAAGATGTCGGGCTTCTTCCAGACCAGCTTTTACTTTGGATACACCTTGATGTTTTGTCTTGGTTTGGGAATACTCTGCGGTAAGATGAATTGTGTTGTCTTCATCTCTTCGCATGTGATTAGAAGTGACCTTGTGTCCTCATGGTTTCTTGCAAGTATTATGCTCCGTTTTCCACCTCTAATTTCTTTGCCAAATTTCAGGTGCTGTTGGATATTTGGGGTCCAACTTGTTTGTCAGGAGGATTTACAGAAATATCAAATGCGACTAGTTGTAGAATATACCACCGATGATGAGGTCCATGTTAAATTATGCGTTTTGGGAGATGAGGAAACAACGGCTTCATGGGCACCGAATTTTCTTTTACATTTTTTGTTTATTGTTTTTCTTTTTTAATGGTAGCGTCGAAACGAGTTGATGTGGCAGGTTCGCCGAGTCTTGTAGTGTCTGTGTCTGTCAATTCAACTACTCACCCCTTGCTCTCTCTTTACATGGAAATCTCTGTTCAGCTGATAGCTTGTAAATCTTTGCCATTTAGGCATTTGTTATTATTCATTGATTCCCCTAATCTGTTTTTGTTTTCGTTCATTCATTCATACATTTAAAGCAAGAATTTTGGTGTTTAATGTGGATTGATTGTGGCCGTTAGTTGTTTCTGCTCTCTCAGCTCATCAGGTGGGTGCGTCTGATGATCGCTATTAAAGGAAATCAACACACACACACACACACGCCCTCACCCTCTCCTTCATTGGAAGCTAGTTTTAAAAATTTCTTTTCTATTTTTACTATTTGAAGTTGGTATATTTCGAAAAAGATATATTTTCTTTTCACTAATTTTTATTTTTATTTTTATCAGATACTACCTTTTTATTTTTTACTTTTTGCTTGTTGATATTTGAATATCAATTAGTGTCTTATAATATATTTGTACAAAAATTTATATAAATATAAATATATTTTTAATATTGTTGATGTAATTTTTCAACAAAAATAAAGTAAAATTCAAAGATATAGAAAATATCCTTAAACTTGATTAATTAGTGCCTGAGATTAGGAATCTCTAAACACTGTATGGTACAGAAAATAAACTGGAAAATAAAAGACTGAAATTTAAAGTGGTGATCCCCAAATCTGACTTTGCTTTGTTGAAGTTGATTGAAGATGCCTTGCCAAATGATGATCCAAATCCTTAAATATTCCCTGGGAAACCGTACTGAAAACCGTCACCCGAACAGTTACAACGTCTCCTTCTCAACCGTCTTCCAACCTTTCTTATGCTGACACGTGTCCCCAGCAGACCAAAATTCCCTATATTTCACTCCTTGAGCCGACCACAGACCTTCCGCTCTTTTGGCCCGACTTCGTCCTTCGTCCGACCTACTTCTTCGCCCGACCCCACTTGGGCCGACCTCCATATCAACCGCCCCCTGTCTTTGATCAAAGGCCTCCGTGTTTGTCCGACTCCTCCTTCTATCCGACCTACAGTTTACCCGACCTGCGGATATCCCATCTCAACGACTTTCCGTCTCGAGGACCTCCCGACTTGAAAACCTTCCGACTCATCGTCTTTCCGTCTTGCAGACCTCCCGACCGGAAGACCTTCCGACTTGAGGTCTTTCCGTCTTGCGGATCTCCCGACCTGAAGACCGTCCGACTTGAGGTCTTTCATCTTGAGGGCCTCCCGACCTGAAGACCTTCCGACTTGAGGTCTTTCCGTCTTGCGGACCTCTCGACCTGAAGACCTTCCGACTTGAGGTCTTTCCGTCTTGCGGATCTCCCGACCTGAAGACCGTCCGACTTGAGGTCTTTCAGTCTCGAGGGCCTCCCGACCTGAAGACCTTCCGACTTGAGGTCTTTCCGTCTTGCGGACCTCTCGACCTGAAGACCTTCCGTCCTGAACTTTTCTTAGAAATAAATAAATAAATTTATTTTCCTTGATTTCCTCACGGTGTCCTTCAGCCAGTTCAATCAACCCTATTGCCAGGCCCATTCCTCGTTTTACCTTGGGCTTTTAACCTAATTCTAAATTTCGTACGTAACAACTTGCCCGCCGCCAAGGGACTTTCAAACGCCAATAAATGTTTGGAAGTTCATAAAGCACTACCTTCTCGAGAAACTCCCTTAGCAACTACACCAGTTACTGCAACACTTCTGGTTTATTCCTTCTTCGCAATACAAGCCTGTGTGAATCACAATCCCAAAACATTCTAACTATGGCGAATCAATACATTCCTGCCCTTCCTTTCGACGGAACCCTTCCAGAAGGTCCATTTTCAGCCTCGAAAGTACTAACTCCGACGATCCGTCCATATTGCACTACTCCCGAAGATTCAAATCGGATGAGGGAAGTTTTGGAATCTCGCGACGCCTTGGCTATCAACAATCCCAACTACCAAGCAGTTCGCATCCGAGACAGCATCAAGACCCATCTCACAGACCCAAAAGATCTGTATCGTGCTTGGTATCGACGAGTAGCAGAACACTTCCAGACCCAATGGCGATCCCAAAAGATCGACCAAGCAATACTACTGTCTACCATGCCTATCAACCTGCATGAGAAGGTGTTGTTGGCCATGTCCGCCTTCTGGAATGCGAAAAATGGGACTTTCCTTTTGCCCTCGGCCCCCTTTGGCCCAACCCTTATGGACGTGGCCATGATCGCACATCTCCCAGTCGTGGGTGAAGACCCTGTAATGGGAGCCCTAGATGGGCAGGAGCCATCAGAAGACCATCCGGGATGGTCTTTACAAGATGTGAAGGAATGGGGTTGGACAAAGTTCACAACCGACCAGCAAGGGGCTCCAGGGACTCCTGTAACCGACCGGGAGCATACTGCCTTTATTCTGTTCTGGCTTTGTAGGTACATCATTGTTTCTCCTTCCAAAAGTGTTCTTCCTTCTCACCTCGACCTAGCCATTCATATTGCGTCAGGTCGGTTCTTCTCCCTTGGTACCCTATTTTTAGCTAATCTGTTTGAAGGACTCACCCGGGTTAGCCTTCGTTTAACAGATAACGATAATAGGAAATTAGACACTGCCGCGTCGGGTCCTTTTTGGTTTTTAGAACTTTGGTTCCGTCTTTACTTTCCCAACGCGTTTAACTTAGGATCTCCGCCCACTATGCCAACATCTGAAAAACATTTAGGATTAGTCCTCAACCGACTCTGCTCAGGACGCAATAAACTCCAATCATCCGATCCAATAATAACTGCCATTTTAACAGATACCCGCAGTAACTCTCGATTTTCTATGTATAAAAAGTATGCGGGTTATGCTCCCGACCATTTTTGGCCCTTTCCAGTACCAAACCCGCTTCCGACTCCTGAGCCTTGTCCTCATCCCACCTATCCTTTCGCCTGGGACGTCGCCCTCAAACCCAGGTCTCTTTTTAGTAGCAAGAAACTTGATAAAAAAGGGCAGAAAACTTTTTACACTTTTAACTATGAACCTCAATTCATGGCGCGTCAGTTCGGCTGTTGCCAAGGTATCCCCGGACCCGTCGCGGGTCCCCAAATAATTTTTCAAAGTCCCGACCGACGAGTCCTTCCTAATTCAATCCCTTCTTATATCTCCCAGCTTACCACGTATATAATTTCCAATTCTTATATTCCCTTCCGCTCCAACCCTGAGAGTGTAGATACTTTCAATGAATGGTGGTCGGTCGTATGGTCCCTGATATCCCCTGATGAGGGTCGGTTGCTGAACGTACTCCTCCCTCCCCAAGGACTGGTTCTAGGGGCGGCGATACATACTAGCACCCAAAAACAAACAACCGCCCCGGGAATCGGATCTGGGGGTCCCACGCGCAAAAGAAAAACTTCCCAGCTGCAAACACCCCCGGCCTCGGAGACCGACCAGCAAACACTAGCAGACCTTGGAATAACTAGGACGTCAGCAAGGACCCGACCCCGAATTGGTAATGTTTCTTAACATCGTGAACCAATTCACTATATCATAACTTTGATTTCACTCATTTCATTCCCCAGAACCGACCTTGGTGACACCGACCAAGCAACCGACGCCAACACCAACCGACCATTCAATCGGGCCTTTGGTCCAGACCAATTTGCCAATGAGCAGTCGGGCGGAGGACCCGACGCGGAGGCAAACCCCTCCTCCCGTACCGAGGAGTGGTCGGGCCAGGCCCCCGACCAGGAAACAATCTTTACCAACAGTGTCTATAGAACCAGTAAGTTCCTTATCAGCAAGACTTAAGATTCGGATGATCAACCTTAATATATTTAACAACAAACATCTTCATGATTTTTCCATAGACACCTTCACCCATCCCATCAGCAGCAGGGGTCTCTTCTGACAGCGAGGGGACTACTTCCCAGATGGGTCGGCCGTCATACATGGCATCAGACTCATCTATATCAAAGGAAAAACCAGCCGCCCTCGCCGAAGCTGACCCTCAGAACAACATCCCTGATGCTGCTGATCCCGAAATCGAAGGTGCCCCAGAGATCCTGGCTGCAGTGGCTCTAGATGTAGCCGTCCAACCTGCAACCGCCCTACCAGCAGCGGCGCCCCCCCTAGCCATCGAATGGCAGGCAGAAGAACCACCTGTGGCAGCCCAACCTCCAGAAATGGAAGAAATGTCTTCATCCGATTCGGAGACTTCTGTGAATTTGGTAAGATTAAACCAATCCAGGTCATAACTTTTCTTTCGAAAAACACTAACTGTTTCCAATACTACTTTCCATAGGGACCCAGGTCGGCACCTCAGCGACCATTCGCAGCAGCCGACGAGTCGGCTGCTGTTATACCAGCTGTCTGCCCAGCTCGACCGACCTCATTGCTACCCCCCTCACTGACAACAGTCCGCCCAGAGGTACCACAAATCTTCTTTGAACAAATTTGCAACCCCCTTGGAATATTTATTGACATTGTAGGACTTGCAGGGGCCTTCGGACTTAGCCGTCCTATCGACTGTTCCGGTTCCAGCGGAGGCCCAGACTGTGTTCACTGAGGCCATTAACCGTCCCCTGTCCGAACTAAGGTCCGACTTATTGGACAAACTCATTCAGACGGTTGGTGGCCTTCTTTTTTACACTCCAACGGAATCACCAGCCGTCCCCATTCTGCATCGGCTGATGGAAAGACTTACAGAGCTCAAGACTGAAGTGGTAGTCATTGGCCTTCTGTCAGCCGAAACCCCCCAGCCCGACTTCGATCAAACAACGCTGGAGAATTCTTTGGCCAAGACTCGAGAATCCCTTCAGCATACTACTGGAAGACTGGGTGGTCTCCTTAGCACGAAAGCTCTGGTTGATGATGCCATTCAGAAAAAGGAGGCAGAATTGCGGGAGCTGAGGAAAGAACAGTCTACCCTGGATAAGCAAATTACCAATGAACAGCATCTGCTTGAGAAGTATACCAAAAATGAGGCTGAATTGGATCAAGAGCTGAAAACCCAAGCCCGATCCCAATTCATCAGAAGATATCAGACGGCTGCCAATACCAGAAGGCTATCCAGGGATGAAAACAAATGGACACAGATAAAAACTGCCCTAGGGGCACTGTTGTAATATTTCCCCCTTTGTAACAACAACTGACTTAGTAATCC